CCCCCTAACCCAGAAGTAAGTAAAGGGATGACTGGAATGGGATGCATATCCTACAGGGATGCAGAATGGCAAACACTACAGAAGAGAGGTGTAGAATTGGAGGCTACTAAGCTTATTAACAATAAGTTCAGGCACATGTGTTTAGGACATGCATTATGCAGTGAACTAAGAAGGAGAAAAATAGATGGTGACTAAAAGGAGCACAAGAATGGTTTCTGGAGAACTAGACTGTTTCTTGACTAAGTAGTTACAAGGATATGTTTTGCTTTTGAACACTCATCAAGTTGCACTTTTTACACACATATTTTCATATATAAAATATTAAAAGATAAAAGAATAGAATGAAAGAGAATTTAGATAGTATTATGAATGACTTTTGCCCCCCTCTATTTTCCAAATGTTTCAGAATGCCGTAGTGAAGCATCATCATGCTCGGAGGCCACGTGAACTGGTGCAATCATCCATTTGAGATGATTCTCAAATCTTGTTGTCCAGCCTAAGACACTCAGCAGCCCAGATCTCAGTTGAGCTACAAGTAACATGACATTGTGGATAAGAGGGTGGCATTAAGAGTTACACAGCCAGAGTTAAATCTTGTCTTTGGAAATGCTAGATATGTGCTCTTGAACACACTACATCATTGCTCTGTCTTTCTGTAAAGGAGATATGTAACACAGTGCCTAACTCACAGGGCCTTCATGCATACTGAATGAACACTTACAATTGTGCCGGCACACAGAACACACAGAACACACTGCTAAATGTTACCTCTTTAAACTTTTTTTTTTTTTTAAATAGAGGCATGTTTTATTTATTTATTTGTTTGTTTGTTTGTTTATACAAGCACTGGGCACAGTCAGAAGCGAGGGAGGGTGAGAGAATTCACCAGAGCCAGAGCGGGGAGCAGAGCAGGCAGAAGGACCGAAGGACACTGCTGAGGGGAGCAGCGGGCGGCAGGAGAGGTCTGCGCGCCATGCGGGACCCTCCTCTGGTGACCGGGGAGCAGCCGGGGATCGAACTGGCGCCGCAGAGGCTGGGGGCAGCTTCACAACCCAGCGCTCAACTGCTGCGCCACCGGGGAGGCCCTAAATGTTACCTCTTAATGCTCATCCTCACCACTTACACCCATAGCTATGGTCTATCCTTTTTTACTTTTTTATTGCAGTAGCATACGTTTACAACACTTTATAGGTTTCAGGTAAACAGCTTCTCATATATCACACCATGACTATTACCAAATATCCAGGGGGTCTCCTATCTTAAATCAGTTACTACACACTTTTCATCATTTTCCCATATTTATTTACTATTATCCCCTGCCACGTACCAAAAACAATTTAATGTCAGCATTATCTAGTACAATCTTATGGAAAACAGAAAATCAAGTATGATATTTTTAGGAGTGTAGTCATCTTGCCATGGCCACAAAACGCCGGACGTGACCCTCACGCACAAACGATAGTGGTCACATTAAAGACATCATAAAACAGGCCAGCAGTGCAGAAGGGACTGTGAGCTCACTCAATGGACACTTAAAACACAGCTACAACTTTTTATTTTGAAAATCTTAAATCCCATAGGAAAGCTAGAAGACCAGCATAATGAATACCCATATACCCTTTACCTAGATCCACTAATTAACATTCTGTCACATTTACTTTCTCATCTTTGTTTCTCACAGCTGACAATTTTTTTTTTTGCCAAATCAAAGGTTAAGTTGCAGACATCCTATCATTTTTAATTCACAAATACCTCAGCCTTTACCTCCTAAGAATAAGGACATTATCCTATATGACATAATACTGTATCACACCAAGGAATTGCACAGTTGTAGAGTACTGCTATCTAATATACAGTCTATATTTATAATTCTCCAATTGTCCTAAAAATGACCTTTTTCTCAATTAAAAATCATAAGAGCATTTAAATTATTCCCTTAGGGCAGGATAGGCCCCACTCCTCTCCTTTCTATGTCTTTCATAGTATTGACATTTTTGAAGAGTCCAAGCAGTTGTCTTGGAAAATGTCCTAAAATCTGGATTTGTCTATTTGCTCATGATTCAAAATATTTTTGGAAAAACACTACACAATGGATATGTTAGACTTTACACTGCAATACTTGGGAGATTCATAATTGTCACTGTTACTACTTTTGATCATTTGGTTAAGGTGCTGTCAGAAACCTTTTCATGTACAGGTATTCTTTTTCTCTTTATAACAGATGAATAATATGTGGAGGAATTCTTTGAAGCCTTATGAATATCTTCTTCCCCAACAATCTTTTTATCCAATGCTTTTAGTTTCGTTTGACAGTCTGCCTGAATCAGTGATCACATTAGTGTTTTAAAACAATCACTGGTGGTGTTTTTACTGTGTGGGTGAAAGGAATCCTTACAAATCAAGTCCTATTTTTCTATTCACTTGCATTAGAGTTTCAGCACTATAACATAACTATTTCAGAAGTTCATCTGACAGTGATTCATAACACCTGTTTTACATCTCTCTGATCTTCATCCACTTGAGTAGGCACATTAAATGGAAACAAACATATCAAGGTTGGATACAAGGTTTAAGCAGTGGGCAGGTAGTTACCTGCCTATACAAGTAAGAGGTTGCCTAATCTTCAGAACCCTCTTTCCTATAGCAGATCAAATTCCACATCAAGTCTATTTTCCCAAAGACAGTTCACATCAGTGTCAGTTTTAGGCATCCTAAGAAGGGAGACATGGAGACAGAAAGAATTAAGGCAGTAAACTCCTAGCACTGTTTTAAAGGACCCTGCAAACCACATTAAGACATTACCAGATCAGGGCCTCCCCGGTGGCGCAGCGGTTGAGCGCTGGGTTGCGAAGCTGCCCGCGGCCTCTGCAGCGCCGGTTCGATCCCCGGCTGCTCCCTGGCCACCAGAGGAGGGTCCCACATGGCGTGCAGACCTCTCCTGCCGCCCGCTGCTCCCCTCAGCAGTGTACTTCGGTCCTTCTGCCTGCTCTGCTCCCCGCTCTGGCTCTGGTGAATTCTCTCACCCTCCCGCGCTTCTGACTGTACCCAGTGCATGTATAAACAAAACAAACAAACAAACCAGCAAACAAATAAATAAAGCATGCCTCTATAAAAAAAAAAAAAAAAAAATTAAAAAAAAAAAAAAAAAAAAAGACATTACCAGATCACACAGGCCAACTGCTTCAACAGCCTGCTTCTCCTGCCCCTACAAATGCTACTTCTTCCTGGACATCTGGCCTTTAGAGCCTAAATACCATCCCCAGATCAGATGCCTCTCCCTTGAAGCTGGTCAAGGAACAGATATGCTCCATCACACCTCTGGCCAACTGAACTGGAGTCCTGCAATGGGTCTGAGAATCAGTGTGTTGACAAGCTCCCACAGGATCTCATGAACAATCAGGTCTGGGAAACCTTGCTTATCCTGTAAGAGGGATCATAGGACACATGATATAGATGGTAGTTAAGCATCAGTCCCAATACATGACAGCTATCCTATCAACAACTGACTTCCAAGGGCCTGGAAAGAGGGTAGAAGAGTTCAAGCTAGAAGATCTATTACATTCCCAATTTATAACCTACTCAAAGTTGAAAAAGTCACATTACTCAGAGAAACTGCCAAATCTATGGCTCTCCAAATTCAGTCTCTACCAGAAGCATCTGAAAGACTCACCCCCAAAGATTCTGAAAGAGTTCTTCAGAATATCGGAATATTAATATCGGTTGGCAGGAATATCGGTTGGCAGATCCTTCTAATGCAGATAATCTAAGGATCACACTTTGAGGGACCCCTGACCAAGATGCTGCTCTGCCCTTACCAATGGCAATCAAAGAGCAAAAGAGCTGGATAAAAGTGTGGCCTTCATTTAAATGCTACTTACCAATCCAAAGAAACAAAATTTGGGAAATGCTTCTAAGCAATTAGCCACATTAAAAACTCAGACGATATGAAACCTTCCGTATAACATAATAAATTTTGCTCCATTTCATCCAATTGGAGGACAACAAGCAGGCTGAGCCAACAATGTAAGACCTATTCTTTAGCACAAAGTCCCCATACTTCAGGGTCCACATTAGCAGTCTCCACAGGGGCACCAGGAATACAGGTCATCTGAATGATCCATCACCTCCTGAATCATCCAAAACAAAACACTATTTCTTACTGTCAAGGCCCTGACTGATTCTAGCTTTCCTTTTACACTGAAAAAACAAGTTCCTGGCAATATATTGTTTCTCTTTGCCCCACCCTCTACTAATAACCCAAACCTTAGCTAATATTAACATGTGTGCTTATGGCCCCAGAAACAAAAAAGGCTAGGTCACTGGCAGCTGGGAATAAGAACAGTGTGCTGGGCCTCCCTGGTGGCGCACGGGGTTAAACACAGCACTATGAAGTAATCCGCAGCCTCTGCAGCATGAGTTTGATTCCCAGCCCCGGCCAGCCAGGGAGTAACCCACATAGTGCAGCAGAGACCTCTCCTGTCTCGCCCGCTGCTCCCCTCAGCAGTGTATTTCAGTCAGTCTGCCTGTTCTGTGCCCCACTCTGTCTCTGGTGAATCTTCTTACCCCCTGCATCTCTGGCCTGTATCCCAGCTCTTGTATGCATAAATAAATAAATCTTAAAAAAAAAAAAAAAAAGAACAGTGTGCTAATTATGGGAGATACAGCAGACAGAAAAAGAGCTAGTCAGCTCCATACTGAGTTGGCATTTGGCAGGCTGGGGATCAGAAGTACAGCTACAGACTGCAACCTAGGCTCAGGGTATAAGAACAGTGGTGGGACTCCCACTTGCTGTTGAAGGTCATAGTGACATATTCTTCTGTTCCATGGTCCAGAGAGCTTTCCACTCAAGAACCCAAGGCAAAAAAGCTCCCACATGGTATAAATAGGGTGTCACTGAGGAAGTTCACATCACAAACATCAAACTGTACCTGGGAGTTCCCAAAGCCAACCAGGCTCATGGCAAAAGGACCATCACACCAGCCAGCTCCTAGGGCTCTTACCTGACTGGAACACGTATCTGGCCAAGCCCTGCATTAGCTCTGCTGGCCACGTTGGGGGCGCAGACTCCCCTGTTTCTCTCTTCAGACGAAATGTCAACTCAAAGCCAAAACCACTAGGTCCATCTGTTCCTGTAAATCTAAAAGGAATAAAAAGTGAATGTTTTTAGTTCAACTACCTTAGGAAAAATAGTTTTGAAAGTTTTTTTCTTTTCAGGGGGACATCAGTATCCAAACCCCTTATTCAGAGGAATCTCCCAGGAGTGTGAGCCTTAAGGGGAAGCCTGGGAGGAACAATAACTCTAGCCTTGCCCTCTTACCAGCTACAGTACCTGTGTATGATCTTAGCCCAGGCAATCAAATTCCCCTGCTGGCTCTGTGAATTCATTTCCACATGTTGTGGCTCTGGATCATTCCTTTTTGTATGACTACAGCTGCATTACCGAAGATCTTCTTTATTCATGTACCTCATTCCTTCAAGTTTAATAAGCACCTACTTAGTTTGCAAAGGATATATATGTCCTACAATATGTTCTGTGTGAATGAGACCCTCTCTCTACTCTCACCTGCACCAAAAGAATACAATCCTCAGCTGGACTGGCTGGCCCCCCAAACTCAGTCTGGAAGGACATGTTCTTGAAAGCCAGCACCTCATGAGTATTTATCAAGCATGTGCTCTTTTTGAGAACTAGCAACCAGTGTGAGGTAAGACCATCCACACATGGCCCAGAATGAAGGGGGTTACTGTCTCTGTGGCCATGCTCATCACAGTGACTATAAAGCAAAGGAGGAATGCTTGCCTCCCTGACAGCTGGCAAACGCTCAGGAGTCCTGAGTCTCCAGGAAGTCCCTGAAATGAACTTCTACCAGAGAGGGAAATGATGTGGATTAGAGAACAAGACCTGGTTGGGGGGACACATCTCCTTAGGTAAAGGATGCATCCAGGGAGGAATTCCTGGGAGATAAAGGAGGCTTGCCAGCATGGAAAGGGTTAAAGGTTAAAGTGTGTCGGGGTAGTGGGGTCTTCCTGGTGGCACAAGGGGTTAAGCACAGCACTATGAAGCAATCCACAGCCTCTGCAGCAAGAGTTAGATCCCCCGTTGGCCAGGGAGCAACCCACATGGCATAGCAGACCTCTCCTGTCTTACCCACTGCTCCCCTCAGCAATGTGTTTCAGTCAGTCTGCCTGTTCTGTTCCCCACTCTGTCTCTGGTGAATCCTCTCACCTCCCCGCACCTCTGACCTGTACCCTAGCTCTTTAATGCATAAAGAATGCATAAATAAATCTTTAAAAAAAAGTCAAAGTGTGTTCATGTATAATTTTTAGTAATTATATCTTGTACAAACATGAGCCACAATGATTATACACATGTAAATTCCTCAGCATACAAATATAAACCATAAACTAAGATGACAGCCAACACTTCCTTGTGAGCCAAGCTACCGGAACAGGCGGTAAGAGGGGAGAATTCTGAAGGGCTGGTGATACAGTCAATGTCCAATTCTGGACTTCCATATGATCTCTTTCCCGTATCATCACCCGAAAGAGGTTAGACCAGGAAATTGGACAGAAAGTGATCCCAGAGTCTCAGAAGTTCTAACACCAACCCTAGCCTTGCTAGTGTGCCCAGCTCTTCTGCACTTGCTGGAAAGGAGATCATTTCAAGAAGCTCTTTTCTCTAAAGGACTAAAAAGGAATCCTGAAAATGATCATGGTCGTATACTATATTTAAAGAAGGTGTCCATGGTTTGGGTTTCCTCTAAGTATCTAGCAACGTGGAAAGCAAACTCCATTTTTCTTTTCTTTTTTTGCATGTAGAACTGGGGTGTAGGACAGTGGTGCAGAGGTGAGAGGACTCACCAGAGGCAAAGTGGGGAGAAGAACAGGGGGATTCACTGAAATACACTGCTAAAGGGAGCAGTAGGCAAGACAAGAGAGGCCTTCTGCATTTGCTGGACCATCTGTGGGTAGCTCCTGGCCAGGGATCAAACTCATGTGGCAGTGGTGACAGTGCTGAGACTAAACCCTTAGGCCACCAGGGAGGCCTGCAAACTCCATCTTGAGGGTACACACCACCTAGAACTAGGGGGGCTGGCAGGCTAGAAGATGTTTGGCAGGACATAGTACAAGCTATTTTCCCTTGCTGAACTGCCCTTCTGCAGGGAGGCTGGGGGAATAGCTAAGCAAACTAAGGTTGGAAGAGCTACTCCTTAGAGGTTGCTGGCTTGAAAGGGGTGTAACAACCTGAGGAGACACAGGAATGACTTGGAGTTAAAACTCTACAAAGGGAGATGGGTCAGTAGGGCAAAGGGAAGATTTCAAGCAGTCACCAATTAGAGGCAGCTTTGTAAAATGCATTATACCATTGCTCCAGGGCTTTAATCTTGGGCCAAGAAAAATATATGATTTCTAACCGCAAAAACTTGAAAAACAGACTAAAAGAAACACGTTCCTTGGTTGTGCTATGGGGAGTAAGCTCAGATGCAGAAAGAGAAGTCACAGGCATGTAAGCAGCACCATCTTTCTGAAGAGGGAAGAGCACACATGCACACAGATGTATGGGTCTGCACGCATGCATGCACATGCATGTGTATACCATCTGCCTCCACACGGGGTGCTTTTGGGGCCAGCTCTGTGGTGGGCAGGCCAGCCCTCACTTGGCTGGGTGGGAGGGACAGGCCCAACCAGATGGTCTCCACCTGTGTTTGATTACCACCCACCAGGCTGGCTGGACACAACCTCTAAACTCTGAAACATGAGTTTGGAATGGCCCAGGCTGGGGATAAACACATAACCGGGAGCCTGTCAGAAGTTCTCTTTAAAAAAAAAAAAAAAGCAGAGTGCCTAGGCAATAGGCAATAGACAAGTGACAAGGTCATTTAGCTTTTAAAGTCTCTCAGAGGGGCCTGGTGTGGTCTGAACTTTCTATGTGTAGGCTTCTCCAGCCAACACAATTTTGTCCAACCAGAGGATGATGCTACTCCTAGGGAGAGGCTGTCTCTCATCCTCTGAGAAAGGAAAGCATGAGAGGAAACTGGCATGTGCTATCGAAGGTGGGATCTGGGTCAGAGCAAAGAATTTTTCTAATACAGGAGGCTGCTAAAATACTGACCGGGATTTTTAAAGACTACATTAGATTCTCCCCAGTCTGGTAGAATGGGAGTGAGGGATTGATTACAACTGTCTTGCTGCAGAAGGATAGATGAGATGGTTTCAGAAAATTGTTTCCAGTTCAAGAACTTCTATCTAGCTCAGTGAGGTGCCTGGGGAGAGGTTGGCTTTGACCCAGTGGTATGGCAAGTCTATGGCAATGGCTGTGCCAACCTCAAAAGCAACATCAAACCAACAAGAACATGTGCCCTGACTCCTAAGCACAGTTGCCTGACCACTGCAACCTGCCCAAAGGTCTCCACTAAAGCACCAAAGGAAATATCAAACAAGCCTCTAAGAGGCCAAAATGACTGCTAACTCCAGGCAGAAAATGAATAGCAACCCAGGAGAGACTTTCTAGAGGAAACAACATCAGGTGAAAAAAATTGACCTAAAAGTTGGCATCTTGTGCTCAACACTATTAGTAATTAGGGAAATTCAAACCACAGTGAAGTACCATTTCACACTCTCTAGAATAGCCAAAATAAGATAGACAATAACAAGTGCTGGTAAAGATGTAGAGAAACTGGAACACTCAAAAATGGTGGGAATGCAAAACAGTAGAGCTGCTTTCGAAAATAGCTGGACAGTTCACCAAATACTTAACCATACCATATGACCCAGCAACTCCACCCCTACAAACCCGAGAGAAATGAAAACATAGGTCTACATAAAAATATATATACTAATGTCCATAGTAGCATTATGGGTAACAGCCAAAAAGTGGAACGCAACCCAAATATCATCAATGGATGAATAAACAAAATGCAGTATATTCTTACAATGGAATATTATTTGGCAATAAGAAGGAACAATGCACTGATATTTACAACATGGATGAACCCTGAAAACATGCTAAGTGAATAAAACCAGACATAAAAGGCCACATATTATATGATTCCTATTATATGAAACGTGCAGAACAGATAAACCCATAGAAAGAGAAAGTGGATTAGTAGTTGCCAGGAGCCAGGGGAAGAAAAGAATGGGTAAAATGAGTAGAGTTTCTTTTTGAGGTGACAGAAATGTTCCGGAAATAAATTCTGGTGATGGTTGTACAAACTTGTTAGTAAACTAAAAGCCACTGCCCCTTAATTGTACACTTTAAAAGGGTGAATTTCATGGTATGTTAAGTAAAACAACATGTTTTAAGTAAAAAAAAAAAAAAAAATACGGTTTTTCAGGTACACCTAAATGCTAGGAAAGCCAGGGTTACCCATGACAAATAAGCCAGGTCTTCCCAGCTCTGACTATTTATAACCACTAAGATAAACTGAACATCTAGTTTAAGTCTCAGGTCTTGGATTAAGCACTTTCCCATGTCATTGCATTTACTTATTTGCTTATGTTTTTTACTAATAAATACACAATTACTTGTCTTCTGGTTTGTTGAAACAATAGGACAGACAACATTTGCCACAATAATGTTTGTGAGAGCAGCAGGCCATAAAAATACATTCCTGATGGGGCACTCCCAATGAAGATGACTGATATTACCATTCTCATCCACCTTATAGTATTTCAAGAGAGCCAGTTTAACTTTTTTTCTCTTATGCTTACTTTTCTTGGGAGTAGTGTAAGACTTCTTCTCTCCCTTAGCATTACCATTCAGTCTCATGACAAAATGAAGAGTAGACTCTTTCTGAATGCTGTACTCAGACAAAATCTGTCCATCTTCCAGTTGCTTGTTAGCAAAGATCAGTCTTTGCCAATCAGAAGGAATTCTTTCCTTATCCTGAATCTTGGTCTTTACATTTACTTTTTAAAAAAAAAAATATTTATTTATGCATACAAGAACTGGAGTGTAGGCCAGAGGTGTGGGAGGTGAGAGGATACACCAGAGACAGAGTGGGGAGCAGAACAGGTGGATCTACTGAAATACACTGCTGAGGGGAGCAGTGGGCAAGACAGGAGAGGTCTGCAGTGCCATGTGGGTTAGCTCCCTAGCCGGGGATCGAACTCATTTTGCAGTGACTGGCAATAGCTTGA